CAACTTGAGAAACTTCAGGAGCAAGTTACAGATTTGCGGTCACAAAATACCAAAATTTCAACCCAGCTAGATTTTGCTTCTAAACGGTAAATTCTCTTTGATTTAAAAATTAATGAAAGTTAATGAATTCTAAATGTTGTACTTCAGTATTCAGATTGTTCAAATATAAGAGTTAATTTGCAATAGTGTTGCTTTTTGGTGGACCATATTCCAGAATGAGAACCTGTGGTAGTTTGTTTTTTAGTATTGAGTACTAATTTTTCCTGGGCTAAGGAAGACTGAGATTGAAAGACTTATTTCTGTAAAGGCACCAGAGGTTAGAGAAATGGAAGCAAATTTTGTTCTGCCTTTTTTATTCTAGGTAGAAGAGAAATGAATGCTAGGTAATTTTAAGTAAATTTACTTTCTTGGTCACTTCCAAAGAAATAATAATAAATATCGTCACATGATAAATTTCATTATGTGGTTATTAGATTCATTGAATACTTACTAATTTTAGGATGTTAGAACATACTTTATTTTTACATTGTACACAATACATCTGTTTTTGTAAGAATATAATAGGTAGTTAACTCCTGTACATCTAGTAGTTCAACATCCTTTGAAAACCAAAAATGTTCAAAGTACCTTTTTTTCTATGTTGTTATTTTAACTGGCCATTTTCTAACCCTTCAAACAGTCAAAAAAATAAGATAAAGAGCATTAGAGGAAAAAACAGTTGGCAAAAATCCATCACTACCCATGCATAAATATGTTAAATTTTATACTGCATTGTGGGGGGGGTGTATCAACGTTATATTGGTGTGATTTTAAAGGTGATTAATTTTTCCTGAATGCATAATATTAAAAAGTTATTCAACATAAAATACTGTACTTTTTTGGAATTTGAATTTAACCACTAAATTGGAGTTTGGAATAAAGAATGTTTTCCTTTGTTATAACAAGCCATTTGTTCCTTAATCACGCAAAATTAAGCTGTTACGAAATTTAGGGAAGTAAACTAGGATATAGTATTTAACTTGCTTACAGAATTTTTTTTTCCATCCATACAAGTTATGAAATGCTACAAGATAATGTTGAAGGATATCGTCGAGAAATAACATCATTACATGAGCGAAATCAAAAACTCACAGCAACGACTCAAAAGCAGGAACAGATCATCAATACAATGACTCAGGATTTGAAAGGAGCAAATGAAAAGCTAGCTGTTGCAGAAGTGAGACCATATCTCCCATCTGATTTGTATTATAAATTGTATTTGATACTTAGTTTTTACTTTGATTTTACTTAATTATATGACCTGGATATTTAAAAGGCTTATGGCTTACAAATCCTTATTCCATAGTTCATTTTTATCTTGCTCACACCCCATTGTGAGGAGTGGGCAGCAGGACTTTTTTGAACGGATGGAGTAAATTTTATGATTGATCATTTTTATGAATCATCATGTATATATATGAATACTTAGAAATGAAATCTTTTCAAGGCACTTTCCCAGGTCCCCTGAAACTCAGGGTGTACTCCTTAAAAGGAAAAGAAGTATAAATAGAGCAGTTATCACTTTCAGACAGGTACTTAGAAACCAATACAGATTTTAAAATGTGCACA